GAAACAGTAAAAGGAAATAGTAATTCAAAAAGACTAAAAAGATAAAACTTGGCTTAATTTTTGTCCATATGACTTGAAGAAAGTAGGATGGAAACAATTATGTGAGTTTCCAATCTTAATCTAAAAAATTATAAAATTAGTCGGTTATCATCAGACATTTTTTTTTTGTTTTTAATGATATTATTCTTTTTGACACTATATAAAAATAAAATTATTATTTAAAACCCGCATACAAAGTCCTAATCTAGTATAATATCACATAACAGAATATAAAAAACAATATTTATTAATTATTTTATATATTTAACGAATGTGACCATACCATATTACATATAACGAATGTGAATCCAAATTCAGCTTATCTGAATATCCGACTTTTTTGAGTAAATCAGATCATATCTCAAATTCCAAATAATAATTATATTTTTTCATTCACCCCTATTTTTGATGGATCGACAATTAAATGCCTTTTATCTTGATCTTATCATCTTGACAGTATATAAGTTTCAATCTTCTCATCTTGAAACTTATCTCGTTTGATGAAAATATGGGGTAATATTGTTTTTTGTCCGTCTATTACATAATCATTCGTTTGTTTCATATACTGAGGTGATTTGAATCTAACGACTAAACATATTATATACCGTAATAGTAGTAACACCAGGTTTGTTTTGTTCTGGTAGATTTTGTTTGCATGCAACTCTTTCTCAATTGTTTTTGTCAGTATACATATAATTTATTAACTACATTTGTAAAGAAAACTTCTCCATTAAGAAAGTTTCACATTGCCAAGAGTTATTAATGTTTATGCAACATTTTTGGTGTCGTCATTCTGTAGTTGCTCTTTAAATTCGTAAGGGCCGTTCCCTGGAAAGTAAATACATCTGTATCACAAAAAATGGTCAAAAATGTTTGTTTCTTTAACAAGAAAAAAGGCGGTCAAGTACTTGGAACACTAATTTGTTGTCATCTCTAGGCCCTCTACAAAAAAGTAATAATAAAATGTTTTGTTTGTGTTTGCAAGAGAAGCGATGGCGTTATAGGGGCTTCGGGTTGTTCAAAAGATGTTTCTCACAAAGATCGATCGCATATATTTGCCTTAGGTCGAGTTCGAAGTCTTACTGGAACATGAAGTGGAGGCACGCAGATTTAAGTTGATATAGTCAGAATCAGTTCTGAGATCTGTGGGACTACAAAAAATTTAATATAAATTATGAAGAAAAATATTTACGATTTAAAAACCAATTATTAGTGTAAATTTAGTTATTTTTTTGATAAACCGTGGAAAATTATTAATATAAATTGATTCTTAAAATTTGGAAGTCAAAAACCTATCCTTCAAAGTTGGCTCTAAGAGCATGTCGATCGGTCCAGGGATTCAAAGAGTTTCTCATATATATAATTTAATTATTTATTTAAATTTTAAATAATAAAATAAGACATAGTCAATCACATTAGTCCATCTGTGAAGTGAGTTTATAAAAAAAGGTGTTTGAGGTTCTCAAACCAGAACTATCAGAACCAATGTTTTGAAAACCGGATCAGACCGGAGGTCGGACCGGGTTCGACCGCGAATCGACCGGCTACCTGAGTTGGGTTGATCCGGGTTTGTTTTTTTTTTTATTTTTTATTTATTTATTTTAAATTTTCATTTTTTCATATTTAATTTTTTTTATGATTAAAATTTATAGAAACAAATACTAATTTTGAATTTAGTTAATTTTTGTTATAGTTTAATGTTTTTAATTTTTTATTTTTTTACATATAAACTTAACTATTTTTCATTAAACTTTGTTTTTGAATAGTTTTTTTGTTATTAAAATGATTTTCTTTATGATTAATTTTTAAAAATATGTTTATTCAAAGGCTATATTATATTTGGATATTATAGTTATACAAAAACTATTTATATTACTAATTTTTAAAAACCTATTAAATCCGGTTCGACCGGTTTGACCCTGTCAGATAATATTGATCCATGACCCAAAAGTTTTTCCGGTTCGGTTGCCGTTCTGGTTTTAAAAACATTGATCAGAACCATCTCTCTTCATCTCTCCCACCTTTTTTTTTTCATTTTTTTATTCTTTAGAGAGTTGGTGAGAGCCTACCGTTGCACTTGGTCTTACTGCTCGATTTCACTAAAGAAAAAAAAAAGAATCCAATGCGGAAAGCGAGATTTCCGAAAATCATTGTCTTGATTTATTATGCATGTTTGTTCTGATTTCATATTCGAGAAATACTAGTTAAATGTTGTTGCTCGTGACCAAAATAAAATAAAAATGTTATGCGTTTGTTACATAAAAAAAATTGTTAATTAATTTATTTTCATACTGAACATATTACACATCATGATAAGCGAGGTAAAACTTGTTTATCGCGATTTTGT